TGAAAACCAGGCTTTGTTTGCCTCTGTTTTTTAAGTCCTCACAAATGTAGGTTGAAGTTGTACATTCTAAATCATAGGTGATGACAGTATTACTTTAAACTTGTTCTTAAAGCACATTCTAGAGTATGTGCAGTATGATGGTTCATTCATGTATCATTTTATTATTTTTGAAAAACCATGTGAGAAAACTCTTCTTCCTCTGCTGCTTTTCCTAGCGTGCCTCATGTGATTGTGTTGTAGCATGTCTGAACACAAGGCAGCTTTGTTGACATCACTGATGATGCTTGTTAGCAAGGATTGGTCAGTGCTGCCAGATGTTATCAATCACTTCAAGTATCCATGTCCATTGCAGCTGCTCTAGAACTCATAGGCCGACCCCAGTTTTTGCAAACTCATGGAAGAACCACCTGGGTAAGATGGAGTATCAGGGCTTTCAACAAACTAATAGGTGGAAGAATTATATAATATTAGTGCCAAAAGTTTATGCTAAGAGAAGGAAACTGGAAGATCAATTGCTAACAGAAGTTCTCTAAGAAGGAACTTAATAAAAACTTTAATAAAATGCTGATAAATTTTGACGATGTTGCTCAGTAATAGAACTCTTACTTAATGTGATAATGGCCCTGGGTTCAACTCTAGACACTGCAAAAACTTCCATACAAACCAAACAAAAACACCTGATTTATTTTGTTAAAATGCTAATGGCATTCTAATTGCACTTAAAAGTCAAATATCCTGACTAAACCCCATAGAAATTGCCTACACTTTACCTAGTAAAGCAGCCCAGAATACTGGACAGTCAATTAACTATGAGTTACTTATGCTTTGCTTATGCTTCTCCAGTTGGTGTGTTCTGTGGTCTTCCTCCTCCTCCTCCTCCTCCTCCTTCTCCTCTTCCTTCTCTTCCTTTTCCTCTTCCTCCTCAGTAGTAGTAGTAGTACTGGATTTGAACTCACCCTTGTACTTGCTTGCTAGGCAGGCATTCTATCACTGAGTCATTCCTCTAGTCCAGTTATTACCGGTTATTTTTGTGATAGAGTCTTGTTTCCTTCCCAGATGCATGCTATAGATCAGTCTACCTATTTTATGCTTTCCACTATAGCTGGGATGAAAGACACATGCCTTTGTACCCACTTCCACTGAGATAGTCTTGGGCTTTTCTAACAGGGAGGGCCTGGAACCTCAGACTTACTAACCTCAGTTTCCCATGTCGTTAGGATTATAAGTGTGAGCCATCAGTACCTGGCTTATTCTGTGTATTTCTTAAATGTGTTTGCATGGAGTGTTTAAGGCAGTGCATATCTCTGCTCAGTAAATGTTAGCTCTTTGGGATGTATAGTTTGAAGTATGAAAAATGCATGCTTTTTGGTTTTGTCTGTACAGCATGTGAAATTATATCTAGACCTTTTCTACTCCTTTGATCCATGTCCTTGCCAACAACATTCTCATGATTACTTGAGTTTTAGGGCAAATCTTGAAGTAGTGTGATTTCCATTTCTCCTAAGAGTTTTACAGAGCTTTAAATTCTGAAGGATTTTGCCAATGAAATATCTGTCCCAAGATAGATCTTTCATGGATGATGGTATGCTATGAATTCAGTTTCATTACTAGTTATGGATTTACATGACTATCTTTTCATCTTGGTAAGCTTTAAGAATTTGTGGGGTTTGAATATTTTTTTTTCATTTTCTATAATTTATAAAATTTGTGGATGTACAGTTTTTCATAGTATCATTACTTTATTTACTCTCATTATCTGAGACATCTGTAATGATATTCCTTCTGACATTTCTGATATGGGTCTTGATTTGGACCTTTTGCAAAACATTTTAGCAGTTTCTAAAGAACATGGTTTTGTTTCATTGATCTGAGTTTTTTTTTCTGTTAATTTTTGCTCATTATAATTCATCCGTGTACTTGTTCTAAATATTTTTTTTTGTTTTTTTGGGGGGGGTCTGGTCGTGGGGCTTGAACTCTGGGCCTGGGTGCTGTCCCTCAGCTCTTCAGCTCAAAGCTAGTGCTCTACTACTTGAGCCACAGCACCACTTCCGGCTTTTTTCTTTTTGCTTATGTGGTACTGAGGAATCGAACCCAGGGCCTCAGGCATGCAAGGTAAGCGCTCTACCACTGAGCCACCTTCCCAGCCCTCTAAATATGTTTTGTTCCACTTACTGCTAATACTTTAATGTTCATGTACTAACATGAACATTTCATGCCATAGGTATACTTCTATATACTACATTAGTTTAATTCTATAAAATTTGGTGTTGGTTGTCTTTTACTTCAATTCAAAGATTGTCTTGTTTATTTGTGATTTTTTTTTTTCTTTAGATCCATGAATGACTCAGAAATCTGTTGTTTATATCACAGTAAACAACAGATTTCTGATCTGTACAACAGATTATTCAAATGAGATTATCCTGTTTCTTGTCAGATTTACTAAGTTCAGAGAGCATAGTCTGTGTACTTTCAGTTCCTTTAAATTGAGCTTCTCAAGAATGTAGGTTTTTCCTGAACATTTTTTTCTATCCCATGTTCTTTCTTCTATGACTTAAATGACAAGAATGTTAGATCTTTTGTACTTGTCCCCATAGATTCTTGATCAGGCTCTTTTTTCCCCTCTACTTTGTTCAGATTAAATCATTTCTCCCTCTCCCCAGTTTTGCACATACTGGACAAACTGCCTACCCTTAACTTTGATAATTTTCCCTTGGTTTCTGTCAACTCACATGTTGATATTTAGCCCTTCAAATTACATTTTAAAATTTCGTTTGTTAATTTTTTTCACTCCTAAAATTTCCAGTTATTTTTACTTTATATATCTTGATTCTTTGCTGAAATGTTCTCTTCTATTCACTTTGAGTTTACCCTACTTTTAGATTTTATTTTATTTTTTGATGATAGCTTTATTAATGTTTCTTCTAGTTTAATCCTAACTTGTTAGCTACGTTTGTACTGGTGTCTGTGTGAATTGAGATTTTTTTCCCCCTTGTTAATGTAATTTTGGACTGTATCTTAGCTATTTGTGAACATTGTACTATGAGATTCATAATCCTATTAAAATCCTTTGGAGAATTTTTTTTTTTCCCTTTAAAGCGGGCAAATAATCTAGTTTGAGTCAGGCTCCAAGTTCCAGCTAGTCAATTTTGGATTGTGGTTTTAATGTCAGTTCTGTTTTCAAAGCCTCTACCCTGCTCTGCTGATCTATTCTGAGTATACACCCGAGGCTGGATTGGAGGCTAGGGGTCTTAGTTTGTTTTATTTTTCAGCCTTTGATAAGCTATTTAGGATCAAATGTGAGGAAGTTCTGCTCTCCTGGGAACCTAGGGATTCACATGTAAATTAGGGGAGTGTCTTTTGTGATTTCCTGGCAATTGGCAGTTTCAGTGGTTTTGGCTGAGCTCTTTTTCTTCCACACTGAAAACTGGTGTTTTATTTTTCTTTGCCCACTGTACACTTCCCACAATTGCACCCACATCAATTGAAAAACCATATGTGCTTACGTTTGCTCCCAGTCCTTTGGGTTCTTGCTTTGCAGTAAGCAAGAAGGTATTTAGATATTTGGAAATAATTTTCACTCTTTCTTTTCTCAAACATACTTGTATATAGGACTGGCTCTTTATTTACATGTTGTCATTAATAATGGTAGCTAAATTTTTCATTGAAGTGAATCTTGCAAAATTTTCTCCCCGCCTTCTCCCTACTTCCTTTTTAATAATAAAACATTTTGAGAACATTTGCTGTTCATTAAGATATTGCCTCTCCTCTAGGCTCAAGTTTGTAAATATCCACATGATTTCACTAATAAATGTCATTTGTCCATGCTGGAACTTCAGTAACTGCCTAGTTGTCTTTACTGTGTAGTCAGCAGTTGAGCTTTTCAAAAGCTTAATTGGGTCCTATCCCTAGAGATTCTGATTCAGCAGACGTATAGTACAGTAACCTAAATTCTTCTATCAAAAAACTGACCTACCTGAATGAAAGTTACTATCTATCACGTAGGCGTTTCAGAACAAGTATGACTTGGGTAGATTGTGATTGTAGTACTATTTGAAGGTTGCTAGTTCCATGGTATTGCAGTGTTGCTGCCTTGATCAGGGATTCAGTCCCTTAACATCACCTCAGGCAGATTTGGTATTGGTTCATCTTTCTTAATGTTGTCTATCTAAATCATTAAGTCATTTATTATTGTATAAGAAACCACTGGTTTCGTGTTTACAAACTCAGCAAGGAGTAGAATTCAACACTGTTATCATGTTTTCTTTATCATGTTTAAAGAAAAACGTGTTTAGTTTTTCACCTTTTATTATACCATGTGTTTGATTATACCATGTGTTCCATAAACTGCTTAAGGTGTACCAATCATAACCATCATAGATACTTACCGTATCGTCAAGAGATAGAACCTTTCCTGATTCCTGTGAGGTCTTCTAATGTCCTATCCTAGGTCAGCCCCTATTCTTTTAAAGCCTACCTAGCACCATAGATTAGTTTTCTCTTGTTTTAGACTTAGTATAAATAGAGTTGTGCACTATGTATCCTCATGTATCTAGTATTTTTAATCAAGTGATCTTAGTGGCCAAGCCTTGTTGACATATTTAATATTGTAATTTCTAACTTCTTTATACTCAAAACACTTGTAAATCAAAGTAAATTCAGTTGACTTATTTTGCATTTTCCTTAGTGGAGATAACCCAATCTTGAGATTCTTTAGGAAATCCTTTTATTTCTTTTCCAGCTTTAAAACATTTGGTGATTCTCTGCTTCATCTACTTATAGGATATCTGTTACTATTCCACAGGTTACTCTCAACTAGCTCTCTTTTCCTTCTTTTACATTTCTTTCTACCAGTGCAGAGAAGAAAAAGATTTCTGAAGTCTTAACCTCATATCTTTCCTTTGCCATGCTAGTGGTTGATCTGGGGTAAATTCAAGTTGAAGTGAATGTCTAGAGCTGTTATATTAATCTTGTGTTCCCCCCTCTCTCTTTTCTTCTGACAGCATGATGGAAGTGGCTCAGTGCATGATATTCAACTCTCATTGCCATCCAGTCCTGAGCCAGAAGATGGAGATCAGATATATAAGGTATGACTAGGTAGTCAGGCTACAGAAATCAGAATTCTTTTACTAAAATAATAAAGCAGGGGCTGGGAAGGTGGCTCAGTGGTAGAGCGCTTGCCTTGCATGCATGAGACCCTGGGTTCGATTCCTCAACACCACATAAGCAAAAAGAAAAAAGCCGGAAGTGGCATTGTGGCTCAAGTGGTAGAGTGCTAACCTTGAGCTCAAGAGCTGAGGAACAGTGCCCAGGTCCAGAGTTCAAGCCCTACAACCGGGCCAAAAATAAATAAATAAATAAAATAATAAAGCAATGGCAACCATAACGTTCAGTAATAAAGGCATTAAAAACTAGAGCTCTACTGTTCTGGGAAATAATCAGATTTGCCCTTAACCTTTACTATTTTGTTATGTTAAAATATCCCTTTTTAGCCCCAGCTGGCCTTGAACCAGTATCTTCCTCGTCTCTGCCTCCAGAGTAGCTGGAATCAATCATTGCTTTCAGCCTTTAAATCCATTTTTGAGTTTATTTGTTAATATAATAATCTTTCCTAATTACAGTATATATAACAACTATTAACAAAAATCTTCCCCATTGTTTGTGATATTTAAGTAATATATTAAAAACCTTTGTAAAATATCGATTTCTGATTTCTTGCTGCACGGCACTTATGTTCCTAGTATGTCTGATAGAGATGATATACTTTATCAGTAATTTATTTTCTCACATATTTTCTTTCTGGAAAGTTATGTGTATGTATGTGCATCTGTCCTCTCTTAATTTCTTTGCTGATGCAAGCTACTTTGTCAGTGTATAGTTTACAGCAATACAGAAATGAGCTAATGATAGTTTAGACTTTGAAAATATGCCAGATTGGTGCTTAACTTGACAGTATTAATGCAATTAATTAATTGCATCAAGTGTATCTCATTGATGTACTTGTTTTCTCCTTAATTCACAGGCTATATTCCTCAGAATTCTTTTCATGGAAAAAAGAATCTCCTTGTTATTCTTTGGGCACATTTACCTTTTGCTGATTTCTGAACCAGCCAAAAAATTCCTCCTAATTATACTGTTCCCTTTGATTACTGTGTCTTTCATTTTCTCTAGATAACTCATGTATATCCCTTGAAATTGTAGCTAAAGTTAGTTTTGCATGTTACTTCTCTACTCTGTAGCCTACATCTCAGATTTCTTACATATAATGGCTGGTGTCATTGCTCAGTGGTAAAGTGCCAGCCTACCAAGCCTGAGTCACTGAATTCAAACTCTGGTACTGCCAAATAAAACAAAATGAAAAAAAAAAAAATAAAAGGGATAGTGGCATATCTGTGTAGTCAGGATCAAATGCTTAAATACTCAAAAGTGCTTAGTCTCCAACACTGACCCTGCTTCATGAATGTTAGCTGTCACTTTTTGTTACTACCCATTGTTTACATGTCACGTGCTTTAGAGCATGACATTCTAGAATTTTTTTTAAATAAAGGGCTTTCTCTTTAAATGAACAAATAGTTTATTCATTACTGGTTTTCATTGACTTAATATTTCTCAGAATATTTTAAATAACTTGTCTTAATTTTTTAATATTTCAGAATGAAGATTTATTAAATGAAATAAAACAACTTAAAGAAGAAATAAAGAAAAAAGATGAAAAAATTCAGCTATTAGAACATCAGCTTGTAAGTAATATTATGAAGAATGTAAGTGGATGATTTTCATGTTAGGCCAGTGTATGCTTTTTATTTTTATTTTTTTGTGCCAGTCCTGAGGCTTGAAATCAAGGTCTGGGCACTGTCCAGTTTTTGCTCAAAACTAGTCACCTACAACCAGATCTCTACTTTCATAATTTTTTGAGTAGTTTATTGGAGAGAAGAGTCTCATGGACTTTCCTGCCTGGTCTGGCTTTGAACCATAGTTCTCAAATCTGTCAGCCTCCTGGGTATCTAGGATTATAGGTAGGAGCCACTGACCTCCTGCAAATGCTAATCTGACTCTCTGTCTATCTACCTATCTACCTACCTACCTATGTGTCTTGTCTGTCTATATTTACATGTGCAAAGTTGCATCATTACATAATGATTGCATTATATATGCCCTGGTAAATATCTTAACCATTAGCCTAAATATGAGGGATTCAATATGACAAAATCTTTGTTGGACATACATTTTTAGTGGGTTTCTGTTGTAGGGACCCAGTTCAACAATTTCCATTCATTTATTGATTGACTGATGCAGGTTAAATGTTTTTGAGACATTTTTTAATATAATAAATTCTAGGGACTGTCTAGGGACTGTGAGCAGATGATAGTAGGTATTTAGGTTATGTGTCATATTGAAGGAGATTACAGGGAAGTCCATCCTCTGTGGATCATGTTGAGTGATCCTTCAGTGCCATGTTTGAATCTGGATAATTTTACAGTTGTTGCAGTTTCAAATTTTAGTCTCATATGGAAACAATGCCTTGAATTCAATTATGATGTATTTAATAATAAAAAGGCCAGAATAGAAAGAAAATAATACATAAAAGTCACAGCAGTTAAAAGAAAATCTGTTGAAAGTCAAAAAGCATCTTGGCACAGCAAAGCAACTTGGTTTTAGGAATATTAATCTCATTAAGAACATAAATGATAGAGTATATTGTACTATGAGTCATAGAGTTCAAGAGACAAACTCATGAATAAATAGAATAGACAAATTTGATATTATTGTGAAGAAAAGGCCAAAGAAAATTTATGAGTTTGAATAAAGGATATCTTAGTATTACACACTGAAATCCTACCAAATACAAAATTAAAAAGGAAAGTAATAAAACCTAATGTGAAACCATATGTTTCAAAGCTAAACATCAGGACACAGCCACCTTTAAAAGAAGTAAAACACAAAATTGTGTAGACTTAATTTTTTCCAAAAATATATTACAGAGCCAAGAAGTTTATTGTCTAGTACATCAGTAGAAAAAATAATGCCCTTTGTATTTTATATCCTGAAAAGTTTTTATTTATATAGAAAGGTAACTATTCATATCTTTAATGTCTTGAAAAACATGTTACATGCTTCTGTTAGAGGAATGGGCAACCATTGACTGCAAAGCTTTACATAGTCTTGACCATGTACTAGAAAGGTGTGAGCCTTTGACTGGGCTGGTATCTGTCCTTAAGACTGGCCATTTCTACAGGGTTCCTGTGCCCCTAGTGGCCAACATTGCTACTTTCTTTTTTTTTGGGGGGTCCGGTCATGGGCCTGAACTCGGGGCCTGGGTGCTTTCCCTCAGCTCTTCAGCTCAAGCCACAGCGCCACTTCCGGCTTTTTTCTTTTTGCTTATGTGGTGCTGAGGAATCGAACCCAGGGCCTCATGCATGCAAGGCAAGCGCTCTACCACTGAGCCACCTTCCCAGCCCCAACATTGCTATTTTCTAACCATGAAGCAGATGATCATGGAGTTAATACAGAAGCAGTATAAGATGCTGATGGTAGAGAAGCTGTTGGTGGAGCTTCTGGAGGCTTTCCATGCTTCAAGAAGCAGCTATCCTTAGTCCCAGACTCTTTGCTAAGGAAACCACTCGAACCACTGTAATGTTGAAAAATACCTGTGAGTTAAGGGTGACTGTCCTTTGAAGAATGATGATTCATCATCGTGGTAGTCCATTGCTGTTGCTTTGTTGGGATATCGAAATGGTATCCCTGACAAATACCCATGTAAAGAGGAAATATGCCAACTAAGAAAGGGATTCTCCCAAGAATCCAGGCCCAGTCTTCTCTTCCCTTAGCTTAGGGTGAACCTCTACATATTATGGAAGGAAGCATATGACACAGAATTGACTGAAAGGATAAAACAAACAACTAGAGGTTGGGGGCTGGGATGTAGCTGAGTGGCAGATCACTGGCCTAGTACCAGAACCAAATTTAATTCTTAGTACTTTTTTTTTTTAAAGAGTTGGAGATTTTAATGCAAAAAAATAGGAACTTAAATTTAAAATTATGAGATATCACTTTATATTGATTTGTTATTAATAAGTAATGGAAGATATTCAGCCTTCCATATTGTAAAGTTTGGATAAAATGTTCATTTTAACATCAGCATATGTCTTTCTTTTTCTTTTTTCCTTCTAGTACTGGGGTTTGAACTTAGGGTGTTAAGTTAGCCAGCTTGTTTTCTTGTTTGATGCTCTTCCACTTGACTCAGGCTTCCCATCCTACTTTTTCCTGGCTATTTTGGAGTTGGAATCTCATGGACTTTTCTACCAGTGCTGTCTTTTGAACTATAATCCCATGGACCTCAGTCATCAGAGTATCTAATATTATAGGCCTGAACTGAGCTGCTGACATGCAGGTTCAATATGCATTAAAAAATAGTAATAGGTCTTTTTATACCACAAAAAGGTCATAAAATATTATGACCTTTGAGCAACTTATAGGGATTTCATAGTACTTTCTAATGTCTAGTTCATATTCAGACATCTGCACTTGTTCCAGAAATACAGAAATGTCCTTTGCATTTGATTAAATAACTAGAATCCAATTTAGGATTTTGTATGATAGCAGTTATACCTGACTCTTATGTTTCTTTTAGTTAAGAATCTTTCATTTTTTTTTAGTTTGGTACTAACTTGTTGAAAAGATTGTCAGTGATCCTGAGCAACATCTCATGCTTCATGCTGAAATATATTTAAAAAAAATCAGAAGTATGTAACAGATTCCCACCCTCCCCCAAAAAGAAAAAAATACAAGATAAATGAAAGTATTACTCTATAGAGTTATGTACCTGAAATCCTCCATATTGGAGGATATAATATTTCTTATATTAAACCTATAAGTCACATTTATTGTAAAAGGGCTTACCAGTATGCATATTTTTTCTGTAGATTGCTCTAGAGGCTACATTGCATTCAGCTAGAAACTTCCTTTATATGTGTATCATAATCATACCAATTTTTTAAATGGTACAGAATTATGGCTTTTAATAGAAGAACTGTATGAAACTTACCGTCAGTTCCTGTCAGACTAAGTCTGTCTTAGACTATAACGCACTTAATCACTGTAACAAACTTCCTGACAACTTATGGTATGAAGATTTATTTTTGTTCCCACATCCAGAGATGTAAGTCTATAACCCGACCCTTTTGAGCCTGGTGATACAACATCATGGTGGTAGGAGCATGTGGCTGAAAATACTTACGTCATAGCAGGCAAAAAGAAAGTAAGGACAAGATATAGCTCCCAAGGTCATGCACTCTGTCACTTACTTTCTTGAGAGTTAGATCTACTTCCCACTCCTACAACCTCCCCAAAATAGCACTACTAGCTGGGGATTGAGCCTTCAATATATGAGCATATAGGGATCACTTTGTATCTAAATCATAACCCTGTTCTTGAATCTAAAAACAATGTTAGTATAATTTTTTCTACTTAAATTTAGAGGATTGTAAACAATGCTGCTCTATAAAGGAAATAGCCCGTGCTTTACAAATTTCTTCCTTCTTTCCTTCTTCCTACTTTACCTCACTTTTAAAGCTAAGGAATTAGGAGTCATTCAGAGCCAAGTATGTTATTGCACACCTATAATTCCAGTACTTAGGAGGCAGAGGCAGTGGGATTGTGAGTTCGAAGACCAGTGTGGGCTACATAGCAAGAACCTTGTTATAAAACCAAGGGCTGGGGCTATATATAGTATTTGAGTGCTTGCCCAGTATGTACAAATCCTGGGGTTCCATACTCTCAACACTGACAAATGAAGTCAATTAGAAAGATTGCAGTAGTATAAAGTTTACTTGTAGAACTCTAGAAAGTTATTTGATCAAATCAAGAAAGTTGAAGGATATAAGCTTTGAAAGTATAGATAGGTAATAGCAGTTTTTGCATTATCAAAATTAAATTGCCCTTCTATATAAAGTTTATCTCTCTAAACTACTTAAACAGGAAAAAAGTCACCCGAAGGCTTTCTTGTCTTCAGTATTAATCAGCTGAATGACATAGGCAGATTCCATTACCCATTTAAGATCAGTTGACTTTTTTTTTTGTGAGTGTATGTGAGTCCTGTGGCTTGAACTCAGGTCCTGGGCACTGTCCTCAAGCCTCTTTGTGGTCAAAGCTAGCACTCTTACCACTTGAGCCATATTGTTCTAAGTAGTTTATTAGAGATAAAAGTCTCATGGACTTCCCTGTCTGGGCTGGCCTTGAAACTCAATCCTCAGATCTCAGCCTCCTGAGTAGCTGGGGTTACAGGCATGAGCTACTGGTGCCCGACTTCAGCTGACTTTTGCATCGCTAAACCTTCTTTTAAGGAAGAACTGGGTTGATGTATGCTGGGGCTCATAAGCTCTTTTTTGTCTTTGACTGTAACCAGTTTAAAGAATACTTACAGTAGCAATATTCCAGTGAATATTACAGAAAAAGAAATTACTTGTTCCTGTTACTTGTATGTGGTAAATTAAAAAGATACATGGTAAATTAAAAGTTCATTGGGATTGGGTTTGCACTTCAACAATCACGTTACACAATCTAGTCATTTGATACCTTGCATTTCATTGCTAGTCATTACTGACTTATCAATATCATAACCAATTATTTTTTTTCTTGGTGCTGATAATAGATCTTGAACTCAGAGTGTCATGTTCTTAATTATCTATTTTGCTCAAGACTGGTGATCTACCACTTGAATCATACCTTCCCTTTTGGCTTTTTTGGTGGTTCATTGGAGATACGAGTCTCACAAACTTTCCTACCGGGGCTGGCTTTGAACCGTGATCCCTCAGATCTCAGCCTCCTGAGTAGCTGGGATGACAGGCATGAGCCATCAGTGCCTGGCTAGGATCAAAGATTAAATATCACATTCATCTCATTAAAGCCAAGTTGAGTTGTGCTCTTAGGGCATAAAGCTCTTTTTTTTTTTTTCCATTCTGGTAGGCAGTGGTAGGTCAAGTGTGATTTTTTTTTCCCCCTTTCAAATCCTTGAGATGAACCCACATCTCAATGAGTAAGGACAGACAATACATTTATTTTCTATTCGATTACTCAAAGTATTAATTATTCAACAGTGCAAAAGGCCTGCAAGCCATTGAGTGCTAATTGCCCAGGGGAAAAAAAAGAATAAATTAGTGTAAACCATTTTCTCTGTATAGCTCAACCTTCCTAAGCCTGCAGTTGTGTTTTTTACATTTTTTATTACTTTATCTTTAAGTAGTTGTACAAAGAAGTTTCCATTCTACAAAAACAGTATATGAGTATAAGGTGTCTGACAACACTGTCACCCATCACTCCTAATCCATCCCTTCTCTCACTTTTTTTTTAAAAAATTGAGATTAGACGATTACATAAATTTCACATATTTCACAGTATTGTGGAATAGTGATATTTAGTTAAAGTCACAAAACATTTTAACCTTCACAAGGCAAATTTTCATTATCATGGTCTATAAAGTTTGTGAATTCTATGAGCTTTGACAATAGAGATTATTTCTTCCACATCAGGTGATGATTACATTTCTTTCCTTTTGCTTAGTGTAGGCTGTTCCCTCTTTCCCTCTCATTCCTCCCTTCCCATTGCTGTCTTTGGATTGCTTAGATCTTTTTCTTCTATGTCCAGTGCAGCTGATAGGCCCCTTTGTTTTATGTTGTTCCATTTCCCACTTACTCTGTTCCTCCTCCTGGCTTCTACGATGCTTTTTTATGTTTATTAAAAATACATCTCCATTTATTCCTAAATTTGAATGCCCATACAATCTGTCTTCCTATGACCTTCTCTAGCTTTTCTCTTCTTTGAGCATCATAAATTCCAGAATATTCCCAAATGCTGTACTGGGAAGGTGTCTTTTGTCACATTTCTAAGATGTGTTCATTCTTAGATGTCCTTGATTGTTGTTGAGGGCTTTGGACTATTTCAAGTAAACTATTAATATTATTCAAAGAACATTTGTAATTCTCCTTTTTAAGGACAAATACAAAGTATTTATGGCAAGACTATGACCCATTCAGCTAAAATAAACATCTGTAAAATTCAACTTAGGTTCACATTCTAAACCTGTGTCTCCTTTTATCTTTTGTAACAATACTGTATACGTTAGTTCAGTCCCCTGTATTTCAAATCCCTTATCTGTAAAATGAAGATAATGATGGCAACAGATACTCTGTAATTTGATAGAACAATACTTGACATCCAAGGTTTCAGTAACTTACAATTTTAGTAAATATATCATTATTTTAATCTTATAATTGTTAGTTCAAATCAGTCCCTAAGTAAACATGATCTAAAATGGAAACTTTTTAGTTTTTATTTCACCCATTGCATTGAAGGTCAGATTTCTATTTTTAATTTTAAAACTATGATAAATGAGAGTAAGAATACAATAAAATAACATTAAAGTATTTTATATGACTGTAAAAAAATGTCTTCAGCTCTAATTTGTATTTGCATGAAAACTGCAAGAAAAATCAAGTGACAATGTAAAGTTTAATCTCAGTGCTCTGACAATGTAGCAGAAAACTATAGAGATTTGGCCATATAAGCCTCATTTTATAGTGCCAAGAATACTAGTTGGATAATAGTTAATTTAGATACATTTTCTGATTGAATTCTCAGAATAAACTTGTGAGTTTGCTAGTGTAAATTTCTTTATGAAAATATGAAGTAGAGCACAGGTTAAGCAGGTAGCAATACCATTTGAAAACCATGTCATACCTTGAATAACATCCTGTCTTAGAAATTCAATAACTGTGTTGTTTTGTTGTTGTTTGTTTGTTTTGGGTAATGTTATATAATTTCTCCTAAGCATCTCTTGTAAGTGTTGTTAATAAGAACAGTATTGACTACATAAGCTTGTGATAATTAAACAAAATACAAATTAAACTATTTAATACCTATTGTGCCTGTGATAAATAGCAGCTCTAGGTAAAAGACTTGTCCAAAACCACTCAGTATAAATCAGTGTATATCTGGTGGTGTTTTGAGTTCCAAGTAGAAGTCCCTCATTAAAAGTGGCTTTAAAAAAACAAGAACCAGCCTTTATAAGTGTATAGGCTTGTAATCCCAGTACTTGGAAGATGGAGGCAAAAGGATTGAGAGTTCAAGGCCTCACAAGGAGACCTTGTTAGAAAACAAAACAAAAAAGAATGTTTGTGAACTCAAGTAACAAGAAACGGTGTAGGTCCCATCACTTTCAATAGTCGCTTATTGGTCATTTGGAAAGAGAAAATAGAAGCTGTTTGTTTTTGTTTTGTTTTTTCTTTAAGCCTTCTTTGCTGCTCCTTCATGATTACATCTTGTCTCCCATAGTTCTTTGTGTCACTCTGGCATCCAGTTTGTGGTCCAGACTTGTTTTCTCTAGCTTATCTATTTTTAAAATCAAGGAACAATTTCTCAGAAATATCCCAGACTTTTCTTACCTTTTATTGGCTAGATTTGAGTTACTTGTCCTTTCCTAAGCAGAGAGGAATAAGATTGTCTTGGTGCATCTGTATTAGCAAGATATGGCTTGTTGGAGATAACATATTTCTCTGAATATGGGTCTATACAGAAAATGAACATCCAAACACAAAATCTGTGAGTAATAAAGAAAACAAATGGAGAGGAAATTACTTAAGTAGTCATTTTTTGTTTGTTTAGTATATAAATTAGTATATATATCTATTTATAGATATATATACACTACTGAGTCATTGTTTGTTGGGTATATACTACTGAGCTTTTTGTTTTAAATTGGTTATCTTACATAAGGAAATTCAAATGCTTCTATTGCAATTAGTTTTTTACATGATTTTAAAAATAGAAACATTTAAGTTGATGTAGTAATTTAGAATCTCTTAAATTTTTTTTTCCATGAGAGAATATATTTATTTTTAGTAGGATTATTTAACGAATAATATAGTTATGTTCCATCTTTACACTAAGGTAAAACTGTCATTGGCTTTTCATTCTGGGCTTGAATTTTATGATTCTATTAAGAGACCTAAGTTTATGTACTATGTATATTGCATCATCTAGATGATTGTCCTTTCAGTGGATTCATGGATAGCAAACATGCTTGTGAATTGAGATAGTTAGATGGGCTTTTGTCACAGGGAGACTTTTCAAAATATTCCAGTCCAGTAGTCAGCATGTTGTTCTAGAGGCTTCATAGCACTGCACATGTGGATCACTTGATCTCTTAATATTGTTCATATTTAATACCCAGTCGACCTGTTCCTATTTAATATCAGTAGAACTCCATCAAAAATGCATTTAAGAAACTGTGATTATAGAATCATAACAGTTTAGAGAGATAATATAAATTTCACAGTTGTAATATACTGTATATGGCAAATATATTCTACTTAATATAATAATAGTTAATATTGTGTACATTTAATATTGTATACAATATTACATTACAGTATTATAATACATGTTATATTGTTTACATTTACATATACAATCACATATTATGTGTTTTATGGAGAGTTGAGGAGATTTATCAGGAGAATTTGGTCTACTTGAAATGCTACTTTTAGTGGCTTATCTTTGACCAGGACTCTGAATAAGATGGTACACAACTGAAAGACCTTGAGGTTTGTTGCAAGAAAGTAGCCAGAAATGTGTTGGCAGTGTGATTTTGTTGGTGTTGATTTGGTTTTTTAACCTTAGGTAGAGCCTCTAACCTTGTAAGGTGTATGTATAGAATTAAACCAATACAAAAATTGTGTGGTTTTTTTTTTTTTTCAGGCAACTCGTTGTAACTGTCACCAGAACTCTAAAGGCGAAAAATGTACATATGCTGATAAGTACACCCAAACACCCTGGAGAAGAACTCCTGTAAGTGACATGCTCTGGACTTCTTCTCTTATCATTTGCTGTTGTCATATTTTGTTTTGCTCTTTTATGCTAATCACTAATAATTTTGAATTTGTCATGGCTGCTGTTTTTCTTAGGTAAGTTGTTTTGTTTTTTTCTTGTCTCCTAGGTGTTTGTGTGCTTTCTAAAGCTTCTTGTTCTATATAAGCAAATGTGCATTTACTAGCTTTTCCATCTGCACACTGTAGCTCGTGTTCTTTGAGTGTCCACTCTTCTCACTGCATGTTTTTAGGAGAGCAATGTTTTCACCTGCCCCACAGAAGCCCTGTATGTAGCTGTCCCAGTTCAGCAGCATATTACACTTTGAAGAAACATGAGGTAGCAATTCCTTTTTTTGTTGTTGTTAAAGTTTCCAAATACATTTTACTATTACAGCTACTCACAAAATGTTGAGGGTATTAGGAAATATTAATACACAGAGTAGATTGTAAAGGTTGTGTTTAGGTAGTTAGTATATGGTTTCTTCTAAACAATACAGAGTTATCTATCCCTTGTTTGTTATTGTTGTTGTTGTTAATGTTATATCACAAAGCATATGTAGGGCTAAAAATATCCTGACCATCATTCAGACTGAGTTTTCTTGGAACTTAGTTCAGGTTGTCCTCATGTGACTACTAGTCATTATTATTCTATTGTATGATTTCTTTCATACTAAGAGAGTGCCTGATAAACCATGGCCCAGTCTTTTGCCTTGCATTTAACTGCAGAGTCCTAGTAACAAAAGTGAATGGGGAAACAAAAAGGTTAGTATAATTAGTTCAACCATAAAATGAACCTATAACTATAGGCATTCAAAATTTATAAAATAGTTAATTTTTTCCATCTAATAAATAATTACTTTTTTGTGCTGTTGAGGTTGATGGCAGAATGAATTTATTCAGAAAAAAGTTGGTTGTTCATTTTGTAGTCTAGACTTAGAATTTTAAAAGTAAAAGTGAGATTTGAAGATAGAAATACACTATAGTGATTCCTCTAATGATCACTATGTAAGGGTGCTAAACCTGGTCAGTTAATCATTGATATAAGCTGCTGTAATTCTATAAAGTCCAGAAGATGGGAAAATAAGGAGGTTGGTGAAAAGAGTAAAGGCAGCTTTTTCAAAAGCAAAAGTCCCAGTAGATTGAAATTACGTAATGTTTTACAGTGTTGACATTTACCTGTTTGACAGCATTTCAAAAGAAAAGTTCTTGCTGTGCCCTTATAAATGACATTTATTCTTTCTAGATTTTTCCAGTTTTTCCACATGGATGTTTGTGAGTTCAGGCCACAATACTAAGTACATTGGCATTCCTGTTCAATATGAAAAATTCCCTTTTATATCTTCATGGAAGTCTTTATATATATATTACTCTCTGGCTCCCTTGATCTCACTGTTCTGGAAACTGGATTTTCAATCCTCCTTACTAGACAAAGTAACTGGTGCAGAACAATACCACTACACTTGGCAGTGTCCCTAGTCTTGGGCAAAGGTCAGTGTTCCAGTGGTACACCCCTAACCCAGATTTCAACTTGCTCTGCTTGTCTACTAGTGAAGGAATTACCTAGCTTAAATACCTTCATTTTTTTTAGATAAGTTAACAAATTCTGGGATATTAAATGGCCTACTAAAGTTTCTACTATAAAGGAGGCTGAGCTAATACTCAGGATTCCTGACTTCTAGCCCAGAGTTCCTTGTCCTAAAACCTTTATGAGGAGCCTTGGAAGACAAGAGGTTTTGCAAATCAGAATGGATAAATGCCCTTGGCACAAGGAAAGTAAAGCAAAGAAGTGAAAAGGAACAGTTGGGCAGTAGTTAAATATATGATTATGTCCAAAACATAAATGTAGTATTTTTTGTTTGTTTTGGAAGAGTTTTGCTATACAGCCCAGACTGGTCTTAAACTCACGATTCTCCTGCCTGATCCTATTGAGTGCTGAAATTACAAGTGTGAACCACAGCTCCTGGCTCAGATGTATGTTTAAGAAAATAATGACATTAGTGTAGAATTAATTTTTTTCATCCAGGAATTACTATATAAATAGTTTTGTGTATTTAAGTAAATAATCTTAAATATGAAGTGCTAAATATTGAGTTTATCCTCTTTGAATAATGTTTCTTCTCTTTAAACTTCATTTGAAATATATTAGGTGGGAAACCATTTACTATAATCAGAATGATATTATTTTCTCAAGAAGTTACTTACACTTAATTCCAAATGTTCTTTTTTATTAGGAACTTAACCATATTTAAAACAGTTTTGATGTTATGAAAGTGTGAAAATACAGCTTGATTCTTTGGAAACATTTAGTTTGCTAGGCCATAATTTTAGCAATAAAACACTTGTTTAAAAATCTCGCCTTATTTTAAGAAAAGTATTTTTGATATAAGCCTTTGACAAGGTTAAAAGTTATAATCTAAGTTTGTTTTTCACCCTTTCTTACAGTATTTTGGGAAATTTAAATGTTGTTCTTTACATTGTCTCAATCATTTGACTGTAGAATCTACCTCAGATTTGTGAGGGAACCATTTTTTTTTTTTGTGAATTTCCTCCACACACAAAGAATCTGGCTTCAATGGGAGTTGGAAAAGAATGATGGAGGCGAAAGAGTTATTTTCTTTAGGCCTGTGGCTGCCATTTAGAAATTAGGAGAAGAAAAAGTGAGCAAAAGCACTAGACATTGATCAAAATGAACTAAGCAACTCAATGGCAGCGATGGGAGGGAGGGAACAAGTGGGAAAGAGGGAATAGCTGATGCTATGCAAAACAAAAGAAATGTACATATCACCCAATGTGGAAGATATAACTGTATTGCAAAGCTCATAGAACTCATAAATGTTATAGACCACGATAGACAATTTGCCCCATGAAAGTTAGAATGTGTTTGTGACTTTTAACTAAGCATCACTATCCCACAATATTGTGAAATTTGGGAAATTATGTATTCATTTAATCACAATAAAGAATTTGAAAAAAAAAGAAAAAGTGAGCAAAATAAGACAAGACATCCCAGCTAGGAATTTCTGGAGGAAAGGGAGAGGTGGACAAACATGACAAAAGGAAAAGACAACAAAACCCACAACAACAAAATAAAATCTCTTGTTTTCATTTCTTAGAGTTGATTTTGAAAAATGCTGCTTTTGTTATCTTTTCCTTTTGTCTTATTTGTTAGATTATTTGTGTTTGGGAGGGTTAGTGGGTCATGGAAAATGTGGACAAAATGTGAACAAATATAGTAGTGGTATTTACTAGACACTGGAAAATGAACTATACAACTTGGCGAGGGGCGGGGGGTGAGAGGGGAAAAACTGGGAGTGAGGGAAGGAGTGACATGGTTCAAAAACAAATGTTCTCATTACCTGACTTATGTAACTGTAATCCCTCTGTACATCACCTCTACAATAACAATACATTACACTTGAAACAAAAGAGAATGGCTGACTTCTGCCAGAGCAACAAAATGGAAATTTTCTGGGTATTACTTAATGGCTATAAAATAGACATTAGGATATAGGAGCAAAAAACAAAGCATGAAAAAGGAAAGGAGCAAAGGAAAATTATCACTTACTCAATCACCAAACACCTTCATGCTGACTGTGCCATGCATTGGGTTAAACTGGGAGTATAAGCTTGAAGAAGATAAGTCTCACAAGCATCTCCTGGTGCTTTCCAATATCTCCAATATGTCTATGCCTAATTGCTATTAACCTTAGTCTCCCCTACACATAAAGACTAAGAAGTGACTGGTACAAGTGTATAGCTTATCTACAGTATTGTTGTATACGAAGCCAGGTTTTCTTCACTTTGAGGAAATAGCTGCTTCTCTTTTGGATGGCTGCAATTAGTGAGGTGACAAGAAGGAACAAAGAGAACACAAGTCATACCTCTGGGAAAGGAGGACAGATGGTTGATAGCAGCAAGAGGTCACAAGAAGGACTTCCTTAAGAGAGAATTAAGAGATAATTGGGGGCCCCCCGTTGTACTGTGTGGTAGAGATCGGTAGTAGTCCATTGTGAAACTTAATTTTTCTGTGTTACTTAGTTGCTGTGACAGAGAAATATCTGACAGAAACAACTCCAAGGAGAAAAGGTTTATTTTGACTCAAAGTTCCAGAGGGTTCAGTGCAGGGTTCTTTGGAACCATGTGCCCTGGGCGGAAGAACATCATTGCTGTTGGGATGATGTTGCAGAGGAGATCCTTCCCCTCTTGGAAGATAGGAAGCAGAGAGGAAGGGACCAGGGACCAGGTCCTTTTCTCCCTCCAAGTAGCATCACCACTGGGAGCCAGGCATTCAACTCGTGAACCTTTTGGGACATTTCAAACTATTAACACCATGGAAACATACTTTTAGTATTTAAAAAAATTTTGGGGAGAGGGGATTGTTGAAAAAACATAGTTTCAATAAGAATGTAAAAGAAAAAGCTTCCACAAAAAGTTCAGTTCATGTCAGTATCAATAAAATGTGATAAAATTCAATGTCTTTTTTCAAAAGAATGAGGAAAAAATGATAATAATACTTTATAAAATGACAAAGCCAAAAGGGAAAAAAAAGGCTTTCTAAAGTGACTTTTTCCTTTTTTGTCCTTTTTCTATCAAGAAGTAACAATACCTTTAGTCTGTAGCATAAAAAATAAGAAAGCAAAATTATTTAAGAAATATTTACATCACTCAATTATACTAAATGCTCACAGCCATTATTAACATTCTATATATGGTCTTCCAGATTTGGTAATTCATGTTTCTGGGCATGTGAAGATCTGTTAAATTTATGTAGTTGGAATTATTATACAAACTTTGTCTCAGACATGTACCCAGATAGAATTGTGAAATGGTTCTGGTTCATTAAAAAGACTAGCAAGAGGTGCTGGGAAGATGGCTCAGTGGTAGAGCGCTTGCCTTGCATGCATGAGGCCCTGGATTCGATTCCTCAACACCACATAAGCAAAAAGAAAAAAGCTGGAAGTGGTGCTGTGGCTCAAATGG